CAGTTAAAACAAATCTTGAAATAGTTCGGTTAATGTTTTCTGACGAGTAGACGTGAGAATTTGATGTTATTGCGTATTAACGTATTTTAAAGCAAACTGCTTGCTGTGGTCGTGCTTCAATCACTTTGCGCTCTTAAATCAGGTAAAATAACTTAATTACTTGGTGACTTTTTCCTCTCATTACACCCGTTCATCGAGTATGCGACTCGATGAACGGGTATCGAAGAGGGCACATACTCGATGAACGAAGAGGGTACAAAGAGGGCACGAAGAGGCACTTAATTAAGTGACAAACACAACAGAATACTCGCACTAAATGGACTCTACGAAACACACTTTCTAAAAGCTGTATTTTTTCTGGTTCAATAAATACATATAAGTGGCACATATGCTTGAAATATTAGGCTATAAAAGCATCTTAAAAGACTTCAATATTGGAAAGGAACGCCTAGAAAAAGAAAAAAGAAATGGCATACGCTGCTTTAACTCTGGAAGTATGGAAAGCGAGACCAGATTCAAGCTTAACTGATACAAAGTAATTTTTAATAAAGTGTTCAAACACGAAGAATCACTTCCATATTCTGTTAAGTAAGTAATTATCAATAAAAGGCACCAAACCGGGAAGGCTGTGTAGCACCATCAAATGTGCGGGATAATCAGACGGCGCTAAATATCACCAAGGATGCCAATACGAGAACAAAAACGCATAAGGCGAACGATATCAAAAGTATCCGAGTCGCTAAGAATTCTATTGATGGACAAGCGTCAGCGAGGAACGGTCGGAAAACAAGACACACGCTCGTCCTGGATGTCAGGACATTCAACAAGAATATGCACGACCGTAAGAGGGGCAATGCAATTTGGACAATAAGCAGGGCGGCGCTCCATTAAGTGACCGAGAGTTAAACGGGTATGGCCAATACCTAACCTAGCCAGAGCCGTTTCCCACCGCCGGTTACGGAGGCAGGAGGAAGGCCACTGGGACACACGACTCTTAAGAGTACGCAGTTTGTTACCAATAACAGAAGACCAACAACTCTGCCAGCGAGGAAGGATAGAGGCATGAATAACAGGGTAAAAGTCGGAATAAGAAATACCTTTACGGGAAATGGGACAAGTGCGAATAGCGTCCTTAGTGGCAGCATCCGCATGCTCATTTAAAGAGACACCAGCATGACTGGGAACCCTGCAAAACGCAACAGACTTAAATTTACTGGAGATAAGAAACAACCAATGTTGAATCTCGATGACCACCGGGTGGACCAGATTAAAGGACCTTAAAGCCATGAGGGCACTACGAGAGTCAACTACCACCACGAAGGAGGATTGACACCGGGAAAGCAGGAGACGAAGAGCATAGAGTATAGCATAAAGTTCTGCTGTGAAGATGCTAGCCTCCGGAGGAAGGCGGAAGGCGACACATATAAGTGTGGTCAGGAAAAACAACAGCCCAAACCGTCAGCAGACTTTGACCCGTTGGTGAAGATGGGAACGGAGTGGTAATGAGAAGAAAAGTGCTCAAGGAAGAGGTGTTTCAGAACTGTAGGAGGGGTAAAAGCTTTAGTGATGCGGGTCAGAGAAGTACAAAATTTGGGAAGGGGGACCCTCCACGGGGGCAAGGATGGAACAATACGAGGAGAAACATTAGTAATACGAACTGAGAGAGAATCTTGAAAGCGAGTAAGAATACGAAAGAGAATCTTGTAAGCGAAACAAACGGACAGAAAGAGGAAGGTGGTGAAGAGGAACAGGAACTACAGGAGGGGTAAAAGTCAAAGCACGATAGAGGCGAGAATAAGGATGCTGTAAGGATCACGCAAGATAGCAAAGACTCTAGCGATCACGGCGATCCTGGAGAGACAGAAAGCCAGTGTCAGCGTACAAGTTGAGGGTAGGAGTTGAACGAAAAGCACCAGAGTTGAGGCGCAACCCAGTATGGTGCAAAGGATCAAGACTGGGAAGAGTAGAAGGAGAAGTAGAAGAGTAAGGTGGGCAACCATAATCGAGTTTAGACAGGACGAGAGAGGAATGCAAATAGAGGAGCGTGCGTCTATCTGCTCCCCAAGAAGTATGGGACAAAACCTTAAGAAGGTTAAGAGCCTTAGAGCATTCAACACGGAGGTAAGAGACATGGGGAGACCAAGACAAACGAGTGTCAAAGAATAACCCCAAAAGCTTCGTGGAATCTTTGTACTCAAGGGGATGACCATAAAGTGACAAAGAGGGACGAAGAACGACCCGCGAATCATCACCCTGACAGCAAAGAGTAAGATCATCAACATAAAGAGGTGAGAAGATGCCAGAAGGAAGGGAGGAAAGAAGACCATTGGGGGCAACCAGAAAAAGAGTAGTACTAAGAACACTACCTTGGGGAACACCTTCATATTCCCGAAAAGAGGCAGAGAGAGTGGCACCAAGGCCGACTCGAAAGGTACGACGAGAGAGAAAGCTTTGAAGGAAGAGAGGGAGATTACCACGAAGGCTAAAAGAACGAAGTTGGGACAGAATATGGTATCTCCAAGTCTTGTCATAAGCCTTTTCCAGGCCAAAAAGGACAGCAACAATGGAGGTCTTCGCAGCAAAAGCAGTACGAATATAAACCTCCAAGTTCACCAGGACATCAGTCGTGATGCGGCACTTGCGAAAACCAAATTGAGAAGGAGAGAGGTGGTGATGGTGTTCCAAGAACCACATCAGACGGACATTTATCATACGCTCAAACAGCTTGCAAACACAACTCGTGAGATCAATAGGGCGGAAGTCGTTAGGGGACGTACCGAGAGACCCTGGTTTCCGAATAGGGAGTACAACGGCATCGAGCCAGTCCTCAGGGACGGACGACGACTCCCAGACCTGGTTATACAGACTCAGTAAATACTGAGATGTGCACGGAGGGAGATATTGAAGCATCTCATAATGAACGTCATCCGAGTCCACCGCCGTAGATCCGCAGAGGACCAGGGCAGACTGAAGTTCAGAAAGAGAGAAAGGATCATTATAGGGAAGGCGCAGATGAGTGCGGTAATCTAAAGGATAAGATTCAAGAACAGGCTTACAAAGAAAGAATGATTGAGGAAGATGACAACCAGAGTTAACAGAAAAAAAGTGGGAACCCAGTTCGATTGCGACCTTCACTGGATCCGCCACAAGAGTACCACAGATGTGGAGAACCGGCGAGACATCTGGAACGAACTCGCCCGCAATCTTGCGGATCTTCTTCCAGATCTATGGCAGAGGAGTATCCGACGTAATGGTGGAAACATAAGATTTCCAACTCTCACGTTTAGCTTTACGGATGGTCCTACGGGCACTTCCCTTCCGAAACAAAATAAAAGAATCAGCCGTCTGCCGGCGGCGGTGTTTCTTCCAGGCTGCACGCTTACAGCGGACAGTCCGAGCACAGTCCGCATTCCACCAGGGAACGCATTTCCGTGTGCCCGGGGAAGAAGAGCGAGGAATAGAGCGGAGGGCAGCGTTGAAGACTGTGTCAAAAAAAAAGAAGGAGGGCGCGAGGAAGAGGCAGAGAGGAGAGGTCAGAGAGAGTAGCACGGAGGGTAAATAGGCTCCAGTCAGCCTTAGCAAACTGCCACCTAGGGAAGGAGAGCATAGGGGGGAAAGAGAAAAAAGAAACGAGGATAGGAAAATGATCACTGTTATGGAGGTCCTCAAGAACATGCCACGTGAAATCTAAGTAAAGGGACGACGAGCAGAGAGAAAGATCAAGACAGGAAAGGGCGCGAGTTCGAGAGTCCACATGGGTGGGCTCATCAGAATTCAGAAGAGATAGAGAAGAAGCGAGGACGAACGGTTCGAGAAGACGGCCTCGGGTGTTTGTCAGAACATCACCCCAGAGGAAATGTCGACAGTTGAAATCACCCAAAAGAAGCACCAGCTCTGGCAAGGAGTCCAGGAGGTGCTTATGATCTGGAAGGGAAAGCGGGACATTTGGGGGGAAGATAAATGGAACAGACTGTATACCATTTACTCACATAAACACGGGCAGCAGAACAATGGATAGGTGATGGAAGAAGTAGGAGGACGAAGGGAATATCAGATCGAATTAAGAGAGCAGTAGAGTTATGGGACCCAGCAAGAGCTGGGGGGAGGGGGAGAAAGGAAGGAATAACCACGAAAGTGACTGGGACGAGAACCAGCATTGGTTCCTGGAGACAAACACAAAGCGGTGAAAACTGTGTAATTAGAAGTTGGAGTTCATGGAAGTTGGCATAAAATGCACGAATATTCCACTGAAGAATAGACATTGCCAAAGAGAAAGGACAGTAACAGAGAACCAGAAAGAAATAAAGGTATAGAAGAACACAGTTTATTAAAGAATCTCAGGATGAGGGGTCAGGATCAGGAGCAGGGTCGACAAAATCAGGGTTAGGGAGCATCCACTAGAACATCAAGGAATGTTCCAGGATTCGAGAATTCGACTTTTGTATCTTCGTCTTTTGCATCAAATGTTAATTTTTGAAGTGTCAAGATACAGCTGTTTAGTATTTCCATTCAGTTACCTTGGTTTTGATCGTCGGTTACTTTTCCTCTGTTTTTCCAAGTATTATTATGTCACGTTACTATGAGAGAGAGGTCATTTTGAATTAATTATGTTGAATCCGATTTTTATTTATTGTAGTTTTTAATCTATAAATCTGTCTATTTGATCTATTATCAGTCTATTATTCTGGCAATAACAACTTGACGAAAGTTGTTATTTCGTCACGTTAAACGTAACAAAACGTTTTCCAGTGAGAATTTGTCGCAATTGAAGACTGACGACTGTATATTAGAGGTGAGATAGAGATAATGCAATGATGTCGAGAAATAGAGAGTAAAACGAGATAGCGAAAATGAAGATAGATGGAAAAAAAATTAATGAGACCAAACATGTGAACAAAGTGGCGTCGATCTCCGCAGTAATCGCGGAAGACAGAACTGGAATTTAGAGAGGGAAGTGAGAGCTTGTGAGAGGAGAGAGGAGGGTGTGGAGAGGAGGCATGTGAGCGTCTCCTCTCAGTGTGCACGTGGCTCCCGCCTGGTTTGTTTCCCTCCGGTTAGTACAGCGTCAGCAGCGGTGGCGATCTGGTCTCTACTCGCGTCGTCGTCCATGAGTCGGGCTCCCCTCTTCCACGCTCAATGCTCTCGTCTTTTATCCAGTGAGAAAATACTGTGTTGTAGGTGTGGTAGAGTCCTACAGGATACCGCCTCGCACCCCCAGTAGCAGTGCCAGACATAGCATGAACACCCCCCGTAGTGCCGCTTGTCAACCTCCTAAGGAGTCCCCCGCGTGACCCATTTGGTCTTTGCACTTGACACTGCTGCAGCGTCCATGGTCACCATGAAACCCCCCACCAGCACTAGCGTCAACAACTGCATCCTGCTCCTGCTCTTGGTGGCCGGAATGATGACCGAGGAGGTTGCCGCTAACGGGCACCAACACGGCCATAAGAGGGGTCACCACGAAGGTCATCACCATCATCCTTCTGAACAACACCATGAACGTCGTTCTTTAAGAACCAGGAGAGAACAAGGTGGGTTTTTTATTAATCTACAACTTTTCTTTTGCCATCTAATAATAACATACCCAACATAATACACCCAGTTTTAGCCTTTGTGCATACACTCATCATGAGCATTCACATTTCAGCATTACAGCTGCATGCGTAAGTAATTATCAAAAGAAAGCTCCTCGTACAACTGCATGATATAAATTCTTGATGCAGTTTGTCTTCAGATGTGGAGATGAGAGCGGGAGGGAGCGTGTGAAGAGACACTTTCAGTCCGCTCCATCCATAACTTGACTCAAAACACTTCACTCTCACGCAAGATTTCCTACTTAATGTACATTGACAATTTAACATTTTATTTAATTCTTATAAATTTATTGCTGAATGATAATTTAGATAGTCCCTTCTAAAGCATGACTGTACCAGTTTCTTATTTAAATGTACAGTGTTAGATTTTTAAGGTAGCTGAAAATCCTAAGAATGGAAAAATATTTGTAATTTATACATTAATTTTGTTTGAATAAAAACATATCGCGTTGTTGTTGTTGTTATAGATTCAGTTACTAGGAACAAAAGGTTCCAAGTAGCACGGGCTATGGTGAGCCCGTAGTGGACTTGCCTGGCACAGGAGCAGGGCTGTAACTTCCATATTGCATTGATGCTGTTGGTAAACAATAGTATCGTATTTATCTAATGAAGCTTGGAAGAGTACGTGAAACCCTGTACTGAGTAGTGTTTAAAAATCTTATAACGGTAGGATATGCGCGTAGTTTCTTTACTGAATCAATGTTATGTAATTTGGGAATTTTCCGTTCCGTGATCTGTTATCTTACAATTTCCTACTATATTATATTTTCCTTATACCCAGATAAATCACACTAACTTTATATATATCTATGAAAAAATTCCTCTGAGGGTTCGAATCACCTCAGAGCTCCACTTAATTTTCTTACATTTTCTTCCTTTTCTTCACACTATTTATGCTTACAAGAACATACATGGATTTCATCGAATAGAAATATAAAAATTACGAAAATAAAAATGTAATAAATATTTTGGTCCTTGTTACATTAACCCACTATATCCCATACCACCTCACCATATCAACAACAGCCACTAACGCCAGACGATATCACCTAACACCATGATTTCCAGCACCGTACCACACCCACCATATCCCCTAATATTTTACCATAACCCCTAATATCTCATCATGCTATATACTGCATAACCCTTAGCAACTCAACATGCCCACCATAACACGTAACAGTTCCCCCAAATTTTCGAAACTTGTTCACCTCATCATACCAGCAACAATCGTACAGTAATCACCTCATAATATCCACTAATATTCTAACACCTCACTGTACCAAATACAACCCAGAACACATCACCATACCTAGTCATAACTCCTAACATTTCGATCTTTATCACACCTAAAAACTTCCCCATACACATAATAATTCGAATACATAAAAATTTCCAAAATTATTTCCACTCTAATTCCTTACTCACTATACCAGCCATAACCCCCTAGCACCTCACAATACCATCAATATACCCTAGCACCTCACAATACGACTCATAACACTTAACACATTCCTATACCATCTATAGCCACGAATAACTCACAAAACCCTAAAATTTAACAATACCCGCTTTAACTTCTAAACCCTCACCATACCCCATCATGAGCAATAAATACTCATCAAACCCTCTATAATCTATAATATTTCACCATACCCATCAATACTTCTAACACCTCACTATACTGTGCATAACTCCTAAACCTCACCAAACCAATCGTAATCCCTAACATCTTAAAATACAATAACACCACACACCATTCTATACCTGTCAAAAACACAAAACAATACTCACAAAACTCCTAAAGGCTCAGCATATTTAGTATAACACCAATATTCAAAGCATACTCATCCTATGAATTAAAATGTGTATGGACTTGGCGCCTTTGCAAGCCGAGCCCTACAATTGTTTGACTGAAGGTCTGTGTTTTTGTCTCTTTTTTTTTATTAATACATGAGGTACATATGCATTTGTTCAGCTTCCCTAGACTATATGAAGTGGAGTACAGTGTGTCAAAAAAGCTAACTACGTGATGCTAAAAAATCCCCATCACACAGGATGGTTAGTCATACAGAGGCATGTGACAGGCAGTCTGCACTGGCAGACTCTGGATGCATTTAGTGGATATCATCAACACAAGAGTGAATAAGGTAGCAGTGGTAGTACAAGTTCCCATCTCGCAGGATGGTTAGTCATACAGGGCCATATGTTTAGTAGCCTGCACTGGCAAATTTTGGGTACACTGTAAGGATATCTTCAAGAATACGAGAGTGAGTAAAGTCATTGCAAAGCTCTAGGTACTTCATATCAATTGGTCTGAAAGATCTCGTCTCACTACATCAAGTGTAATTAAAGGAATAACTCTTTCCTTAGGGAACAAAAACGGAAGTATTGGAATCCCTCCGATATAAACAGATATATAGTCAATGTTTGATTTCATATATTATTCACTGACAAGGACTGTTTTGTTCTAGTTTTTAGTTGCTTTATCAAAATAATATGAAATTCAATGAATATCAGACTTCTTAAATTAAATACCAGTAAACAAACACTATGTAATATAGCGCATCTATGATTTTTAATTACGTATCTGTCACAATAAGAAAAGCTAGTTATTGATATGTATATATTCCAGTGTACTGGACAGACCAACAAGGAGACTAGTGGTACATCTGGACTGGATTCCCTACATTTCCAAAAGATAACATAGGTTGAGAAAAGGGAAATCCTGTTCAACAAATTTGCAAGAACTGCGATGGGGTAAAACCAAACAGAATTGATACGTACTGAGTGACTGCATCATTCTTGATAACCATAAAGACGTAAACACTGCTCTAAATTAGTGAGTGTATTATACAAAGTCGAATATATTGGACAGTAACAGTAAACGCACTAAGGCTGGTGACGGAGAACCCTTGATATCGAATGATACTGAGACACTACGTGTCACAAGCAGAATGGACAAGAATGACCAGCGGAGTATCACAATGATCAGAATCTATCCTGTGCCATATATATGTTAATGTTTTCAACGACAGTTTTTCAAACTAACAAGAAATAGAGAAACAATAAATAATAAAAGCAAAAATGAGTTGTGAAATATTTTCAGTAGAGCAGGGAAAAGATATTCAAACTATTTTCTTCAAACATATAAAACAAAGATTACAGATAAGACAGACTGTTAGAATATGAGAGGTCAAGTAACTAATAATGGCAAAGGACGTGTTGGTTTTTAAACAAGTAATTTATCACTTTATTTACTAGAGATGAATTCGATATTATGTCTACCGGGAAGAAATCTACATTGGTGACGAGAGGGACACATTAACAAGTTTAGTGGTTACCAGGGAGGACTTAATTAAATAAAATGAAAAATTAAACAAGTCCTCCATGGTCAGACGAATTATTTCCCAGGGATTTTAAAAAATACGAAGAAGAGCTTAGTGATCCATTGTCCAGCATTTTTAATAAATCAATAGAGTTGAGTAGAGTTCCAGAATCGTGGAAGGTGACAAATGTTGCACCAATTTTTAAGAAGTGGAACATAACACTTGCGATGAACTACCATTCAATTAGCATAACTCTTAAAGTAATTCAATTACTTGAATCAGTCGTCACAAAATTTATATATTATCATAGAATAATAAGAAATCCACAATATGGTTTCAATTAATACTGCTTGTGGTTAGGAAATTTATTCTCATACTTGTCAGTCTTCTTTATATAGTTGATAGCAGAAAGGGTAACGACATTCTATAATTGGACTTTAGCAAATGTTATGGTACTGTGCCTCACGAAATACTTACTAATTGAGGCACATTATATATGTGGGAGGGAGTGGGTGTTATTCCAAGTTGGATTAAGTCTTGGTTACTTAAAAGGAAGCTAATACTTATTAGTGAGGTAAATATGAGTCAGAAACCAATGTAAGTGAGGTGCCTCAGGGCTCTGACCTGAATTATCTTTTGTTTCTCATAAGTTTAATGGGGTACCCGGCGAGGCTTCAGTTAACACAGCATTATTCCAAACAAAAATTAGTAACAGGATGAGAAACATTGATAATAAATGGGAAAATATGTTTCTATTGAGCATCCCAACTTATATTAGTACATCCCCAAATGTGGTTGGGATTGGGCCACTGAGTAACTCTTTTTCCTTTATGCCATCAATATTTAGTTGCTATACTAAGGGTAAATTACATTAGTATAATTTTTGTTATGTTTCCAATTTTTGCTAAGCTTCGTCTCCAAACAATGTTTGTCTCCAAAGATGATTGGTTACATTTTATATATATTAAAGCATTTACAACCATTTTATGTCCGATACGTATTTCACACCAGTTTCCCATACAAATTTCAATGGTTTTAGCCCCCAGATATCTCCCTCCAATTTTTGACAGACAGACAGACAGTAGACCTTATTTCTTATAGTTTAGATTTGATACGAGAAAAAAATGTTATTTCAAAATAGTTGAATATTATTTGATGTTAGCTGTGTGGAGTTGATAAGCATTTTGCAATTTTTGCAAACCATTGCCAGGAACAGTTTATTCAAATTAATGATGTGATCATTACAAGGGCGGTACTGTTTTCGTAAATTCCCCTCCAGTGACTGGCTAGACCCACAAGTCATTCCTAAATGAAACGCACATTATTGACCACGCCGCGCCCATCTGTACACCATGGATATATCATGTATGTATACCATGTATGTATTTGTCATACATACATGTGTGTATGGTTTTTGTGTTATACACGACTTCCAGTCAAAGATAGTGCCTATATATTATTACTAAGATGGAAATTCCTTTCACTCTGCGAGTGAATATATCGTCATAGCAGCATTAAATAGCAACCCCAAACACCCTGAGAAGAAATAATCAGATAGATTGCTGTACTGATCACAAGCTACAGTTCTACACAAGCTACACAATTCAT